TGCTGTAACACCTGTACAATGTGAAGAGCGGTTTGCTAAGTTCTGCCACGTGTGCACCTGCGAGACCACAGTCACAGCGAGGTTCTTTGTGAGAACAGCAGAAAGCAGAGTTTTTAGGTAGCTGTCCCCCGATCTCTGCCCCTGTCCTGTAGCCACAGATGAGACCTGAGAGGAGAGCAGAGGGCAGAGACCCTCGCTGGCTGGATGCACCGGAGGGGTTACCTGGTCAGCCTGCTGTCCAGCGGGCTCCTTCCTGGACTCTGCTTTCTACCGGGACAGTGTCTTCCTTTGTCCTCCATGTGGCAGGCTGCTGGCCGCGGCCCGTGCCCTCCCTGGGTCTCCACAGCATTCCCTACGGAGGCACTGCTACTTTTCCTTGGCGGCAGCTGGGTGACGCCACTGAGCCCAGATCGTTGTCCCAGCATCATCAGACCTGTGAGCTCAGGCCCAGGCCCCAAGGTGGAGCACGGGGAGCCACCCGCCTCGGCAGAGTGGGAAGCAGGTCCCTGGAGCCAAGGAGCTGTGCTCACTTGAGAGCAGGGACGTCCTCCTGGTGGCACTTGGGATGGACACACAGCTCCAGCTTTGGCCACCTGATCACATGGGCTCCCCATGCGGTCACTCCCAGAGTACTGGGCTCCCCGGAGGTCAGGGGCCCCAGGCCAGCAGTGCAAGCAGAGGAAGGGTTGGCAGGTGTCACCACACTGTGCCTTCCAGGCCCCGGATGCTCCAGAGACACACGCATGCGCGCGCGCACACACAGATACAAACACACATCCCGTCTCTTGTGTGGTGGGCAACACCTTGCTCCACAGCCCTGTTGGCAGAACAAGAGCCAGAGGCAAGGTTCCAAGGTCCAGAGGAAGGCATCAGCCCTTTGTCAACTCATGCCAGCAGCATGTTGCCCACTTGGTGCCTTCCCAGAGCCCCTCCCCCAGGGGCTGCATGCAAACCCCAGACTAGGTAGGGTCCTATAGCCCTGCTGGGGTGCAGGGCAAAACGGGTGGGGCAGGGGCCCCCCTCCTCTTAACAGGCTCCCCATTCCTGACCAGACCCTTAGGGGAAAGTGTCGCACAGCAGAGATACCAAGCACAGCAGGGCTCCACCGTGTCACTTTGGGCACCCTGACGGGAGTCCAGTGTCTAGAGTGAAGGGCCGTGGGTGCCCCAGGCGTGGGGCAGAGAGGCACAGAAACCCACAAGAGTTTCAGAGGCAGTGGCCAGCTGGGAAGGGTCCAGACACCCCTTCTGATGAGTCTGAAGAGTGCTGAGGGTGTTGAGCCTCAGGGCGAGAAGCCAGAGAGGCCGTCTTCCTCCTCAGACAGCTGGTGGTGGGTGAGCACAGGCGGGATGGCACCAGTCAGGAGCCTGAGAAGGGCGGGCTTGGGAGTGTTGCCCGTGTTACGCTGTGCCCTGCTGTCTTCCCTGTGGCGGCAGGTCCTGGTGTGGGTTGTCTTGGCAGCCTCACCTCCTGAGACTCAGCGCCCACTCCCAAACCAGTATCTGTGGCTGGGCGTGGATGGGCCAGGTCTGAGCCCTGTGCTGCCCCTCGTGCCGTAGCGGGGCCCATGCTTCCATTGCACAGTGCCCAAGCACAGTCAGCTGGCAGTGAGCTTGGGGTGGGTGCCAGCAGCAGCCCGTGTGCCCATGACAGGCCCTGGGGACAGCTTTGGCTCTAGGGAGGACAGATATAGGTCACATGCAGCAGGGCCACTTCCAAGGCCTCCATGCCCCACAAACCCCAGTCCTTCCGTGGGGACTTTGTCTAACTCTACATGGATGTGCATACCACAGGCCCCACGGAGCTCAGCTAATGGATGTTCCCCTTCCGTTTTATTTTCTAGTCCCTCCCAGCTTCTCAGGAGCTGCCCCAAGCACCCACCAGCCCGTCATCACCCCTCTGTGGCCGCCTGAGTTTCAATGCCCTAGAGGTGCCCACCGCATCCCAAGGCCTGCTCAAGGTCTTCCAGAGACATTCGCCCATGGAGGACCTAGGACCTAAGGGGGTAAGGCCCAGACACCAGCGCTCTGCCAGGAGGAAAGCTGCAGTCAGCCTCTGGGTTGGTGCCTTCGTGGCCCGCAGTGGGTACTGCCTTCCTGGGCCCACCCTGATGGTTCAGGGTGGCCTAGGCTATCTCTGGGACAGGCAACTGCCTGACCAGTGCATGGGTGCTGTTCGTCATGGGCTCCAGGCTCCGAGGGGCTTGCGGATGGTAGGGCCCTGCTGCCCCTCTCCTGCATTGATGTGAAGCCTGTACCTGCTGACGATGTTTTGCAGACCTCACCTGCAGGCTTTCAGCCCCAAGGCCCTGGTTCTTTTCCCTCAGGCCAAGGAGAAGGCGAAAGAGGAGGCATGGGACATCCACTTCTTTGAGTATGGGCGTGGCATGTGCATGTACCGTACGGCCCAGACGAGGCAGCTGGTCCTGAAGGGCATCCCTGAGAGTCTGCGAGGAGAGCTCTGGCTGCTGTTCTCGGGTGGGTCAGGCCTGGACACCCCTCCCTCACTCCCCAGCCCTCCACCCCGAGTAGGCTGGGGCGGGAGAGAGCGCTCCACACGCTCAAAGGTCTGTGACCTCTCACCCCCAACCACCCAGGAAAAGTGCTGCCTGCCTGTCATCCCCGCACCCAGGCTGAGGTGGCATTTGTCCTTGAGCTACATGGTGAGACACTGTCTCAACGTAAAACAAAATGAAGGGCAGGAGAAAGAAGGTCTCAATTGTCTGCAGAGGACCTGAGGCCGGTGGGTGGCACTCCTGTGCCTCAGTGGGAGGCACCCGGATCCACCTTTCCTCGGGACAGGCTCCAACACCATGCACACCCATGGCCCTGGGAGCATTTCTGCAGAAGGGCACTCTGGCTGATCAGGTTCTGGGGCAGTGGGCTGTGATAAGCAGTTACCAGGGAAGCTTCGCTCACACCTGTTAGTTGACCCCAGAGCTGTCCTCTCAGGGAGCATTCCTGTCTCCAGTCTGCCCTGTGCTTGCCAAGAACCAGAGGACAAAGAGAGCAACAGCTGCCACCTGTGTCTCCCCAGGGGCCTGGAATGAGATGGTGACTCACCCTGGCTACTATGCCGAGCTGGTAGAGAAGTCCACAGGGAAGTACAGCATGGCCACAGAGGAGATCGAGCGAGACCTCCACCGCTCCATGCCCGAGCACCCTGCCTTCCAGAATGAGCTGGGGATCGCCGCACTGCGGCGGGTGCTGACGGCCTATGCCTTCCGGAACCCCACCATTGGCTACTGCCAGGTAGCACGGCTCACTGGGGCCACATACCTGGGACCCACCCCCCACCCCAGGAAGGAGCTGACAATAGAAAACCAAAACTTAAATATGAGGTCATTCACCCCCTCCCACGCCATACATTGTCTTGTCTTCTACATGCTTCTGGTCGGAGTCTTGGAAGCGTTGGATTGTGTGTGTGTGTGTGTGTGTGTGTGTGTGATTTACCATTTTGACAGTGACTAAATATGCAGTTCAGAGGGTAAAGTGCATTCACCATTGGGCAGCCCTGACCACCAGCCCCTAGGGGCCCCAGCCACACAGCCCACAATGTCAGTATGGCCCTGAGTCACCACAAGCAGACACCCCTCTGTGGAAGTGCCGTGTGCTGGTATCCGCTGCCCATTTTTGAGTGCCTCCTGATCCACTCTGAAGGAGCTGGCTGTCTCTATCAAATCGTTTCCTGCAAGAGAAAGGGAGAGACCAGCATGGGGGGAGGCAGCTTTACTCGGTGGCCGTGGTGCGAGCCTTGCCTTGCTGTCTGTGCCTGGCAGGCGATGAACATTGTGACGTCCGTGCTCCTGCTCTATGGCAGTGAGGAGGAGGCCTTCTGGCTCCTGGTGGCCCTCTGCGAGCGCATGCTTCCCGACTACTACAACACCAGGGTGGTGGGTGAGTGTGCCGGGGGCCCTGGGCTGAGCCTCTGCCCAGAGGCTCCACGTGGTGTGGCACTTCCCACCCATGAGCTGCTCTGGGTTGCACAGCCAGTGTGGTATGTACGCCTGTCATCCCAGCACTTGGTAGGCTGAGGCAGGAAGATCACTGAGTCTGAGGCCAGCCTGGGCTACATGGTCAGTTCAAAGTCAGCCTGGACCCTGTCTCAAAAAGATAAAGAAAAGGTCACACAGCTGGAAAGTGGGCCACCAAACACAGGTACCCACCCCCATCTGCATCCACAGCCCAGGCCCCAGAGACTGTGGTTTCCCTGGTATTGCTGAAGTGAGAATTAAAGGATTTTACACTTTACTGGTTTTGGAAAGTCCACCTGGAGACTAAATTATCCATCTCATCTTTCCTCGTTGGTTTTATATGCAAAATTTTAAACATCCCAAAACTAAAGAATATAGTTTACTCCGTGTACCTGTTGCCCAACCGCAGCTACTATGAACTCCCATCCAGTGAGGTCAGTTCACCAGATGGGAGCAGACTCTCCAGTGTCTCCCACTGTGCGTCCATGTAAGCCAGTGCTTGGCGTCTGCTGTTCTCCACGCTGGTCTTGGAGTCTCCTGAGGTCCTTTCGATCTGCATCTGTTCACAAGCAGTAGGACAGAAGGCACCAAGGCCACCCTTCAATTCTGGTGCTGTTAGGGAAAAAATTCTTGCTTCCTCGAAAGGAGATCCGAGTGCAGTCAGCCCTTGGGATCCCTGGCATCGGCAGCCCCGGATCAGAGACACTTGGGGGAATCTCACATCTGTCCTGAGTGGACAGACTCTTCCCAGGGAGTTGTGACTCCCTGCACACTACATGATAAAATGACGGTTAACATAGCACTCATGTGGTGCTACCCTGAGTCATCTAGAGGTGATCTAAGGTACCTATGGGAGGGTGTCACAGGGTCTGTACCGACACTTGGCCATCTTACCTCAGGGACTTAGGCCTGTGGGTTTGCTTCTGGGGTCCTGAGACCAGTCCCCTGTGACGCCAAGGGAGGGCTGGTAGAGTGAGGGGTCTGCTCGCAAGTACAGAGCTGCAGGGTGCACTGCTGGGATCTTCCTGATTGCTCACAGCCCTCGATGTGTGTGGAGCTGGCAGGGCCAGGGAGAACGGGGACCAGGGGCCTCCTGTGCTCCAGGCCCTGAGTTCTTCACCAGGCTGCTTGAAGCCCTGGGCACGGGCTTACCTTCGGTCTTCCGCCTCTCCTGCAGGAGCCCTGGTGGACCAAGGCATCTTCGAAGAGCTCACAAGGGATTTCCTTCCCCGGCTCTCGGAGAAGATGCAGGACCTGGGAGTCATCTCCAGCATCTCGCTGTCCTGGTTCCTGACCCTCTTTCTCAGCGTTATGCCCTTTGAAAGTGCCGTGGTCATCGTTGACTGCTTCTTCTACGAGGGTATCAAGGTGATCTTGCAGGTGGCCTTGGCTGTCCTGGACGCCAACATGGAGCAGCTGCTGGACTGCAGCGATGAGGGCGAGGCCATGACCGTGCTGGGCAGGTGAACGCACTGGCTGCCTCCCACTTTCCGAAAGCGGGCAGCGAAAGTCCACCCCTTGCCAGCCCAGGGCACATCAGTCAGCATGCAGTGACTGTGCACACCAGTGCCAGGCCACCCCTGGGCCCAGCAGGCTCCTCCAACAGATTTTCTTCTCTAGTGAGACCCAAACAGTGCTTGGCAGGTGATCCCTACCGGGATGGAAATCGGACAGGGTGGTGGGTCTGAACCGGGCCTGGTGGCCAGAGGCATGTGGTCAGGGGATTTCTAGGGGGAGACCCAGTGATCCTGATGACACCTCCCAGTGGCCAAGAGGTGCCTGTCCAGAGTCCATGAAAGGTCCCTCTGAGTTGCACAGTGCTGTCCTTGTTGTGCTAAGCTTTCCACACTGCTGCTTTCCCTGCTTGGGTAGAGTGGCCCACCTGTGCCCACTCCACAGAGCAGCTGCATGGCCATTGTGCAGCAGGGCGCCCTCCTGGTGCCCTCAGCCCCATGTGCTACCACCTTTAGCCTCTGGGACCTGGCCAGTCCCTACAGCAACTCAGCCCCTGACCCATACCCACTTCTCAGCCCCTGTCCCTCACCTGCTTCACAAGGACTCTTTCAACCACATCTGACCCTGTACCTCCCCTGGCTTGTGGGGAATGCCCCGTGTCACAGTTGGTTCCCTGTACGAAGACGTCGCTAGTCCCTCGGCCTGGCCTTCAAGCCTGCTGTGTCTCGCTTGCTTCTGGGCTCACTGGCCATGCCTAGAGTTCCCAGGCCTGCTGGCCGCACCTGGTATGCTTGCCCAGCCCAGGGCGGCCACCGTGGGCATCCTGGGACACAGCTCCTTCCTGCTGAGCCAGCAGCCCAGGCACCAGCTGTACTGGCAGGCCTGTCAGGGTGCCTTCCTCCCTGCTGTGAGCGGAGATAGCTCCAGGCTACCACCGGACCTTAGTTTTCACGCCTGCCTCTGAGGAGCCAGGAGCTGGCAGGATAGGGCCAGGGGCCAGCTGCACTCTCCCACCAGAGGGGCAGGCTCAGCCTAGAGAGCCAAGGAGGATGTGAAGCCCTGTCCCCAAGACTGTTCTTGGAGAAGCCCCATTCCCCAGGCTACTCCAGACATTGCCATTGCCCATTCCCGAGCTCCCTCCTGGCAGTCGGTCCATCAGTCTTGAGTCTTGCTGGCCAGGGCAGGGAGTCCCCACATCTAGTCATCCTTCAGCTAGTAGGGCATGGGCACATAAAAGGTTCCTGCCCACAAGACCCCCTGAGGTTAGCCTCAGAGTTAGCGCTCGGGACCTCTGGGCCGTGCTGGGCTCCTGGTCCTCAGCAGGCGCCTTACCTAGGCGTTGGCATACGCATCACTGAGAGGAGAGGGAGACGTCACCGTGGCCAGTGGGTGACCTGAACTCTGTCCTTTAACCTTCACAGATACCTGGATAACGTGGTCAATAAGCAGAGTATCTCTCTCCCTATTCCACACCTCCATGCCCTGCTAACCAGCGGAGATGACCCTCCTGTAGAGGTGGACATCTTTGACCTCCTGAAGGTGTCCTATGAGGTCAGCACCCAGTGGCACCAGCTTGGCCAGGCCCTGTGGTAGGGAGGGGCGGGCTTCTGCCTGTGGCCAGTCGGACTTGGTCTCACTGATTCACCTCTGCTTGTAGAAGTTCAGCTGCCTGAGGGCCGAAGACATCGAACAGATGCGGTTTAAGCAGAGGCTGAAAGTGATTCAGTCCTTGGAGGACACAGCCAAGAGAAGCGTGGTAGGTGGCTGGCAGGAGGCTGCCTGCCTCGGCGGGAGGCTGGTGGAGACATTTCCCAGGCCAGGTGCACAGCCCCACTTGCACACTGTCCCTTGTGCTGCTGGGCACCGGTGTTGTGGCAGTGAAGCTCTGCAGGCTGGAACCAGCCGTGGAGATGCACAGCGAGCGTTGCAGGAGCTCCCATTCAGGGCGTCCCGCCCTGTCCTCAGTGGGAGGCGTTTCCCTCACCCACATCCTGGAGGCTTGGCATCTTCAGGGCAGGGTCCTCCCAGCCTGGCCTTGCCATATGGTCGCTGCCCATGTGCCACGATGCTGACTCCCTGGAGGGTCAGGCTCCCCTGCCGCCCATGCTGGGACCTCAAAGCCAGTATTTCTGTCTTTGCCTCCATATCCCCATCCCTCCTCTGTAGCCCACTGAGGGCCCTTTAGTCACAAGCCACAGAAATGACAGACTGGCTAGCTGAAGCGAAGGGACTTGATGGGAAGCCATACAAGCCCTTCTGAAGAGCCAAGGCCGGGGTCTTCGCAGGGAGCCAGGTTAAGGAGCTAAATGACCATCCCCTCAGCTCAGGAGAGACACCCTAGTGCTGCCCCAGGAAGGAGCGGGTGGTGAGAAGCGACTGGCAGGTGGGATGGGGTGAGTGTGTGGCATACCCTCCTGCCAGAGGCACCACTGTGCTTGGCTGCCTTGCCCGATCCACATGCGCATGCCTTCAGAGCAGGTGTCATTTCTACTGCCGCAGGAACTTGAGAATCCATCAGAACAGCCTGCTTCTCTCTCATTGCAGGTCCGAGCCATCCCGGGGGACGTTGGTTTCTCAGTTGAGGAGCTGGAGGACCTTTACATGGTGTTTAAGGTGACAGCCTCAAGCAAAGGCAGAACCAGTGCCCCCTTCTCATCCCCAGAGCACACCTCAGTGCAGCTGCTTTCTGCCCAGAAAAGGGGGCTGCCCAGCAGCCTCAGAGGCAGTTGTGCACCTCCCACGGCAGGATTAAATCCTTGAGTTAGACAGAGAACTCTGTCTAAAAGGAAATCCAGTGCTCACCTGACTGAAGTGTGGGGATCCAGCACCAGGCAAGCTGGACCCAACTGACCCACAGGCCCACAGGCTTCCTGACTCTTAGGGCCTCCAGATGTGACTTCTGCAGAACGGCAGACCTGCCACCAGGAGCTCTGGGGTCATCTTGTCAGCATCCCCAGCAAAAAGAATTTCTTTCCAAGTAGTTCTAGCAGAAGACCCAGGGTTGATGAGTGGAGTGACTCAGACTGGGAACAGGTCACCACCTCTGATTCAGGGCCTGAGGCTGGCCTAGAAAGGTTTCTACATACACCTCAGGGGCTCCCTAACAAAGGCGGGGAGCAGCACTAAGAGGAGGCAGAGCCAGTCCACACTGCCCTTCTGTTCTTCCTGCTGATCCCTCTTGACCCCTCCGCCCCAGGGTGGTTCCCAAGGTGTCCCTGGCTCCTCTGTGCACTCACTGCCCACCGTGCAGGGTTGGGACGCTGAGGTGTCCGTCCTTGCTCTGCAAATGCAGGGAACTGAGGGTGGATGGCCCAGCCTTACAGCATGTCCCCTGCAGGCCAAGCACATGGCAAGCCAGTACTGGGGCAGCCACTCAGCCGCCAGCCGCCGCGACCCCAGTCTGCCCTTCCTGGAGCAGTACCGGATCGGTGCCAGCCAGTTCCAGGAGCTCTTTGCCAGCCTTACGCCCTGGGCCTGTGGCTCACACACACCTGTGCTGGCGGGCCGCATGTTTCGGCTCCTGGACCAAAACAAGGACTTGCTGATCAACTTCAAGGAGTTCGTGACAGGAATGAGTGAGTACACCAGGCACTCAGCCTAGCCCAAGACACTTTCCTGCTGCTACACCGGAGGACAGCCTGGAGCCTTAGCCCTCGACAAGAAGAGCAGCTCACCCACCCAATGGAGAGGAGCTCAGGCCCTGAGCTCCTCCCTCCTGCAGCCCCAGAGAGGGTGGCGCATGCCTGGCAGGGCTCTTTGCAGGGACCTCTCCAGGAGGGAGCTCACCTGCCCAGCTGGAACCCCAGAGGGGAGGCGTAGGCCGTGGGTCTGCAGTGTGGCTCGAACCCTCCTGTCAGCGCCCTCCTCCATGCCTGGCCCCACAGGTGCAATGTACCATGGAGACCTCACGGAGAAGCTCAAGGCGCTCTACAAGCTGCACCTTCCCCCAGGTGAGAGCCTGTGGCCGTCTCTCCAAGCCTTCAACTGGGAGTTCAGGATGCAGTCAGGCACAGGCATCTCTGAAGCCCCTGGTCCCACAGCAGGGGCAGAGGAGGGAGTCAGCATGAGGCTGAGGCTCAGACTCGCTGCGGTCCTACAGGGCCACAAAGAGAGGACTTGAAAGAGGATCCCCTTGGTGCAGGCAGGGCCTGAACAGGATTCCACACAAAACACTTGACGGGGTGGAAGTGCGTGATTGAACTGAGACCCTGGGCATGCATTAGTTCCCAGAGGGTCAGCCTGGGGTGCACCACAGCCCCTCCAATCCCGCCCCAAGGCCATAAGGAGGGACCAAGTCCTCTGTCTTCCGGAGGTGGTGCTGCAGCCTAATGGGGGCCTGTGGGGTTCAGGCAGAACAGCTCTTGTGGGCAGCTGATAGCAGCCAATGTGAAGCCTCAGAGAGCCAGGCTGGGCTGCGGTCATGGGTTCCACGTGTGTGGCCGGCGCTCACTGGGCTCTGAGGAGGTGTTCTCCCCATTTCCTCAGGAGGAAACCAACTCAGGTCAGTGAATATGAGGCCCTGGAACACTGCCCTGGTGGGGACTGCCCTGTCCCCAGTGCTGTCCTCAGCCTGCCCCAGAGTGGCCCTGTTTGGCCTGGCCCTCAGTGATTGCTGGAACCCTGGGGTTGGCTGTGTCCCCAGAGCCTCTCACCTGACTGCAGGGTGGGGGTAAGGCCGAGATCCACCGCCAGAGTGGAAAAGGCTCTTGGCACAGCTCGCTCCGGGCTGGCACTGCCACCAGCACCCCAGAGGCCCAGGCTGGACCCAGGGCTGAAACCTCATGGGGCTCTTCCACCTTGGCAGCCATCTCAGCCTGGCCTCCCATGCCTCCAGCACGTACCCTGTGGTCTGTGGTGGACATCAGCTATGCCATCTACCTCCCCATGTGCTGTGCTGATCCTGCCATTGTGTTTCCCTCCACACACCAGGAAAAGACACACACACACACACACACACACACACACGTCTGCAACCCCAGGGGGTGCTGAGTCACTAGGAACACAGGAGAACGGGGCAGGCCCTGTGTGTTACTGGGGAGCACTCCGAGAGGTGCAGGATGAAGAAGGCGAGCACCTTGCCCGTGGCTGATGTGTGAGTGAGCGAGTGCCAGAAATGCCTCCAAGCCAAGCAGCTGCTGAGCAAGATCAGCAGGGCAGAGGGTGGCACAGCTTCATCAGCCACCCAGCCACTCTGATTGAGTTTCTGCTTGACAGGTGTCTTGTGTTTCCAGTGCTAGGGTGGAGCTTGGTGGTGGAGCTCTTGGCCAGCACGCATAAGGCCCTGGGTTCAATCCCAAGCACCCCCCAAAATCCCAGTGTCAAAGTCAAGAAAGAAATAACTAGAGCTGGGGCTGGGGATTTAGCTCAGCGGCATAGCGCCTGCCTGGCAAGTACAAGATCGTGAGTTCAGTTCCGGGTACCGGAAAAAAAAAAAAGAACTAGAGCTAATCACCCTTAAAACTACGTACTAGGCTTAAGGCCAGGTATGGTGGCGCACAACTGTGATTCCAGCACTCAGGAGGCTGAGGCAAGAGGATTGCTGTGAGTTCAAGGCCAGCCTGGGTTATATAGTGAGTTCAAAGCCAGCCTGAACTACCCAGTGAGACCCTGTCTCAAAAAGACAAAAGTATTTACCAGGCATTAGGAACAGCGGGTGTGGGGCCCAGTTCGAGCACACTGAGCTGCAGAGGTGCGAGCTCATGAGGTCTTCCACCCTTACTCCCTTCTCTCCAAATACAGCTCTGAGCCCAGAGGAAGCGGAGTCAGCCCTGGAGGCCACCCATTACTTCACAGAGGACAGCTCCTCAGAAGGTGAGCCGCTGCTGGGACGCTGAGGCCGCCACTGTGGCCCCGCGGCCACCACAGCCCTCTGGGGGCCATGTGGCTGGCAGCTCGGTCGTGTGCAGGCCACGCCACACTGGGCTGCTCTGGGGCCCATCGGCTGCAGTGCCCTCAACGCCTGTTTCTCTCGCATCTGTCTCCCTGGACTTGGCTCCTCCTCCCTCTGCCCTCCATGCCTCCTCTGCTGCCTCCAGCATCTCCTCTGACTTCAGATCTGGATCTTTTCCTGCCCTGGGAAGCTCAAGGTCAGTCCCTGGAGGTCAGGGCATCCCCTTGGCCTCTGGGCTTCATCTTCTGACACCTGATGCTGGGGCACTTTGCTCCAGCACCCTTCCAGGACTTCGTCCTGTGGGATGGGTGCTGGGAAAGACCCACGACCCAGGAAAGGGGATGCCTCTAGGCCTTTCATGGGCTGGCCAGCAAATGCAGACACACAGCACACAGGGTTTCAGTCCTGCGGCCATAGGCAGAGTGTGTGCCCTTAGCAAAGACACACCACATGCTGTCACTGCAGCCATGTGAAAGACAGCAGGCGAGTGGAAGCTGATACTCTCCTCAGAAAATGTCTACGTTCCACCTTAGTTTTCATTACAGAGAAATGTATGTTGAGTGCCTGTTGAAACTTACCCTTGTGCTACATTTCAAGCCTGTGGGAGCCTCCAATGCAGAGCAAGGGAGGCTTTTAGGCCCTGGGGTTTGGCAGTCAAGCTGGTCATGTGTGGGACCCTTGTAAAGCCAGGCATAGGGCCTGAGAGTACAGCTCAGCAGTACAGCACTCGCCTGGCAGGCACAGGCTTCAAGTTCAATCCCCGGCACCACAAAACAAAGCAAAACTCTGACCATAGCACTGCCCTGTAGCTTCACATGGACAGCAATACACACCAAGGAACTGACCCAAAAAGGAAAATGAAAACATATCATACACCTATATGCATATGCCTATAATCCCATACTAGGGAGGCTGAGGCAGGAAAGTTACATTTTAAGGCCAGCCTGTACTATCAGACTCATGTCCAAAAAAAATGGCTGAGGACCCAAGTTGAAGTCCAGCCTGGACAATTTAGCAACTTAGTGAGACCTTGTCTCAAAAAGGGCTGAGCAAAGGTCCAGGTTTCAATCCCCAGTATCACACACACAAATATACAGAGGGTGGAAGGAGACGGTCAGAATATCTGTTGGAACCCTGCTGACAGTGTCAAGCCCCTGCTTAAACTGGAACATGATCTTGACTTCTAGTAGCACAAACTAAAGAGCTTCAGGCACCTTCCTTCTGCTGGAGCCAGGGCAAATCACAGGTGCTCTGAGATTATCCTGCATATGCTGGGTGGGCAGGGCAGCAGTGACCTCAGGCCTGCCGCAGCCCTAGGCAGCAGGGTCTCCATTTCTCACAGAGACGCCTGAGCCCAAGAGGAGCCCCCTCTATGCCCAGTGTGGGGCCGTGAAGCAGGGACCCTGCCACACCGGCCCAGGTCCTCTGTGGTCACTGCCCGAGCCGTCAGCTGTTCATGCTCACTCGCAGGAAGCAGTGTGCCAGCTCCAGTGGACGTGGCACTGCACACAGTGCCGTGCTGAGTGTATGGTTCTGTACACGTCATCCTCATGACCAGTGTGGCCGTCACAGGGAGAATGATCAGATCCCTGCCTCCTCCTTCCCCTAAGTGTGGCTCATTTTCAGCAGAAGCTCTATAGCAGAACAATTCTGACTTGCTGCCCCTGGTGCATATCATTTGCTTAAAAAAAAAAAAAGTATGCTGAGGCTTGTAGTCTTTTGAAAAACAGAAGTGAGTATTCACTGGCCTTTCATCAGACCCAGGGCCCCAAGTATGTGATGCATCCACGCTGCCGCAGAGCTGCGGCCAGCCGGTGGCTTGATAAGCCTGTAGCCAGGGTAGCCAGGCAGAGAAACAAGCAGGCCCCCCTGTCGTGCTATGGCAGGGCTGGGCAGAGAGGCGGGCATGGCTGGTCTGGGCTGTTCCCGCAGAATCACAGACCAGGCCTCGCAAGTGGTTTAAGGGTTAGAAGTCCCTGCATATTCGTTTTCTTTTTCTGGTTGTCCAGAAGCACTACCACAGGAAGAGCAAGAAGGAAGTGGAAATGAGGATGTTCGGGGAAAAAAAGGTACAGACCATTCTCCACTAGTCCCAGAGCTGAGGGGGAGCCCATGTGTGCCCCATCGCCCCCAGGCGCTCAGCTTGGGGAGATCACAAATGTGTCGGACGGAAGGACTGAGGGCTCTCCAGGCACACCAGGTGCCCCAGACCTGTCCACCCACCTCCAGGTGCCCAGCAGCACACCCTTCCTGCTGCCTGACTCTCACCAGCCACCACCTTAGGGAAGTGGCAGGTTGGGGTCTTAACCCGCCAACCTAGAGCCACCACTACAGCTGGTTGGGGGAGACCCAGGGCCCAAGTTGCCCTGTGTCACGAATCGCCATATGCTGGTGTATTCTGTAATAGGACCTAGCTCACTGTGTGACACCAACCCCACTTCTCCCTGCCGCCACCCTTAGCCCTCCTGTTCTCAGCAGACAGACAGCAGTTAATCTCTTTTCCCCCAACTCACAGAGGAGAAGGGGACCAGCCCTCCAGACTACCGACACTACCTTCGCATGTGGGCCAAGGAGAAGGAGGTTCAGGAGGAGACAATTAAGGATCTGCCCAAGATGAACCAGGTAGGCTCAGTCATCGCCTGCAATGGACGTTTCCAGAGAATTCTAGCCAAGGCTGGGGCCTGGTGCCCCACACTGCAGCAGTCTCCTCAGGGTGGGAGTTCTCTTCCCCGTGTGCACATGGTGATGATTCTAGAAGGCGAGGCTGGTCACTCCAGCCCAGGAGGCCTTTCTGTGCTGACGCCTTGTGGAGGCTGAGTCAGTACTGGAGAAGCCCCAGGAAGTCAGTCTCCAGGAGCACAACCCGTGCTCCACCTCGCCGTAAGCCTCACAGAACACAGCTTCCCACACTCAGGCCAGGACCACCACCACCACCACCACCACCACCACCACCACCCCTGGTGTCCTCAGCAGACCCACAGTAACATGCCATTTGTCATCACCCCACAGCCTCACTGAAGGATGGGGCAAGTGAAAGGCTGGGCTTAGAAGGTCCTAACGGGGCTGGGTGTAGCTCCATGGCAGAGCACTGGCCTAGCATCCATGAGCCCCAGGGCTCCATCCCCAGCACCACAAAAATAAAATGCTGATAGCACTAAGTCCAGGCAGGCACCTGTCACCCAGCATTGGGGAAGCTGAGGTAAGAGAAGCACCATGAGTTTAAGGCCAGCCTAAACTGCATAACAAGACTCTGTCTCCAAAAACAAAAGAAAAATAGGTGTCTCTGCCTCAGCTTTAATCTGGGGATGGCACCTAGGGCTTTGTGCATGGTTGGCAAGTGATCTACACTGAGCTGCACCCATATCCCTTATTTTACCTTGAGATAGTGGCTCGCTGTATTGTCTAACCTTGACCTTGGAATCATCTTGCCTTGGCCTCCCAACTGTTGAAATTATAAGTGTATACCACCATGGCTAGCAAGAAAGGGTGGTTTTTTTTTTTTTTTTTTTGGTGCTGGGGATTGAACCCAGGGCCTTGTGCATGCAAGGCAAGAACTCTACCACTGAGCCACATCCCTAACCCAAGAAAGGCTTTTTAAACAACATGCCTATAATGCTAGCACTCAGGAGGCTGAGGCAGGATGTTCATTGCAAGTTTGAGGCCATCCTGGGCTACACAGTGAGTTCAAGACTGGCATGGACTATACAGTAAGACCCTTTGTAAGAGCTGTGTGGGATTGGTCAAGTCACTTTCCCTCTCTGAGCCTCGTCCTTCTAACCTGTGACGAACCTGTGAAACAGCAGTGGTAAAGCACAGGTTTGGGGAGACAACATCCTAGCATTGGGTCAGAGCAGCCTATGTCTTCAGTACAGCTAGCCGGGAGCCTGATGACCCATCCATTGCCATTCCTGTTCTTGCTCTGCTTTTCTCGTGAAGGAGCAGTTCATTGAGCTGTGCAAGACTCTTTACAACATGTTCAGTGAAGATGCCCTGGAGCAGGACCTATACCATGCCATTGCCACGGTGGCCAGCCTCCTGCTGCGCATTGGCGAGGTGGGGAAGAAGTTTTCAGCCCGAGCAGTCGGGAAGCCCAGGGATGGGGCCCACTCCGGGGATCACAGCGGTGCCACTGAGGAGGACGAGCCACCTACACCTGAACCCCAGCAGGACCCAACATGGGCGCATCAGCCCCCCGCTGCAGGGGACGCACAGGCCAAAGCTGGCGGGGACACACACACGGGGAAAGCAACCCAGGAAGGCCAGGCAGTGGCGGAGGCGGGCAGTGGTGAGGGCCAGGGCTCGCCCTGCCAGCTCCTGTCTGATGATGAAACCAAAGATGACGTGTCCGTGTCCTCCTACTCGGTGGTCAGCACGGGCTCTCTGCAGTGTGAGGACCTCACAGATGACACAGTACTCGTGGGTGGGGAGGCCCGCAGCCTCACGGCCTCCTCACGTACTGGGGGCACTGTGGACACAGACTGGTGCATCTCCTTCGAGCAGATCCTGGCCTCCATCCTGACAGAGTCTGTGCTTGTAAACTTCTTCGAGAAGAAGGTAGATATTGGTGCCAAGATCAAGGAGCAAAAGAAGGTGGAGAGGCAGTTCAGCACTGCCAGTGACCAGGAGCAGCCGGAGGTTTCGGGCTCCAGCTGAGGCCTTGCCTGTCCCTCTGCCTGCTCCCTCTTCTTGAACACACACTCTCCCATCTTTTCTGGGCAGAGCTGGCAACACAAAGAGGGCAGTGCAGACCCAGTCACCTCAGAAGGGTTCCCTTTGCCTACAGCTCAGGGCCCAGGAAGAGGTGGCCATGCTGTCTTCCCCTCCGTACAGTGGGGCCTCACCCTGAGCCCAGGCACCGCCCGAGAGGCTCCCGTCTGCCGCCCGCTTGCCTCACTCTGTACCCCACGCTGTGCAGAGGCCGTGGACAATCTCCATATAGCTGTGTGGCCCAGGTACCGCTGCTCCCACTTGGCACCAGGCCGGGGCTTGTGCTTGTTGGGCTCCAAAGAGTGGAACTTCAGGTGTTCACGGGAGCCCCTGAGCCTGAGCCTCACTGAGAAGCGGACAGAAGACGCCTCTGCCGCGGCTGGGTGCGCACACTGCCGCTACCGTACACGTGCTTTGGCTCCTCCTCACCATTAACTCTCAAAGTGCAACGCTCAGGTCCTGGTCTGTCTCCTTGTGTTCATTTCAGTTGACTAAATATCGCACTACTCAGTGCCTTAATAAATCCCTGGAGAAATAAAAACCACATTGCAGTGCCTTGCTGTGGTCCTTGCCCAAAGCTGAGGCCGCCTGGCTGTGGGACTCGGCGGTCTCTCGGCGGTCCCCGGCAGGAAACAGCAAGAGGATTTACAAAATAAAGCGACGGTAGCCGGGGTCAGGCGGCGTTACCTCTTGCCTGATGAGCAGGAGGACTGACTGCAACAGGAGGGAGGCCTATTTATACCCTCGAGAGCTGGGTTAGTTTCTGCCTCGCTGCCCAGCAGCCGGTTAGCACGGTACAGCGCTTGTTCACGCGCTTCAGGGAGCTCGCGTATTCTCGGGCTGGCTTCGTGCTGCACGTGTAGTCACTTTCCAGCCTCAGCGGCTCCCAACCCCTGGCTGCTCCGCAGGCGAGGGCTGCGCCCAGCGTATCCTGGGTCCCCACAGCAGGCAGGACGCAGTCACGCGGGAAGCAAGCAGGAGCCGGGTTGAAGCCGGCTGGAAACCTTGAGACTGTGTCTCGAAACACAGAACAGGGCTGGTCTCCATCCCAAGTACTGAAAAAAAAAAAAGCAGGCGGGTCAGTGGACAGAAAATTACGAAGCGGAAGCGTCAGGGCCTGGAGGGACTCGCTGACGAGGATGGCCGAGGGAGGGACTGGGCCGGCAGGGCAGGGCGAGGGGCCCCGTCAGAAACAGGGCAGGAGGGGTAGTTCCTGCTGGTCTCTGACGAGCCGGGACTTTACAGGGAAGCCCGCGGACGGGCGGGCAGGGACGGTCACAACCCACGCGGACCCGGTCGAGCGTCTTTGTTTCAGACTCCCTGCACCGCCGCGGCCGACCGCCAGGCTTGCGTTCTCCCCCGGCCGCCTCGGCCCGGGGCCCCTCCGCGCGCCGTGCCGGGCAACACCGCAAAGCCGAACTCCGCGGCCGCGCGAGGGCGGGAGCCACGCGTGCGGAAGTGAGCGCGGAGGGG